CCAGAATCTACTTCGATTCAATGTGAAAAATGTATAGTGTTGCATCTGAGGCACAAGTTGGTTCATTCCCACAAAATCGGCAACCAGAAGCTTCAAACGTCTTCTGACGAGAAGCATGTGCGAGTTTTGTCCAGGTTGACCTTGGATGTTCGAATCGGACTGAGAAGGCCTCCTGAACCATGCACTCGGACGATCCGACCCTCCGATTTTTCCACAACTTCTCGGCTCATACATACCCCCACATGTGGAATACGTAGTACAGGTTCGACAGCCATGGATGAGGAGAGATATCACCGTCTTGGAGATACCCCAACGCCGAGCAACCAGAGGCGTCAAGGGTCTGTATAATTTGCCGTATGAACGAAGGCTTCGAGTGCTTGGGGTCTTCAGCGGACAATATCGGTGATTGTGCGGAAACCTCATTTTGGCTTACCATATTTTGAGAGGTCCAAACCACAGGTGCCGCCATTTGCTTGCGCTCATTCACTAAGCGCAATTTGAGAGGCCACTATATCAAGCCACTATATCATACATAAAAATGGTTAGCAAAAGAGGGTTTACACAGTGAACTCACTGAAGGATACCTAGTATAGACTGTAAATCCAAGGTAAATCCATGCGGAACGACGGCAAATTGGATATTGGTAAACATCGTGTCTCCTTCTGGTGTACACATGCAGGAGGTAAAAAACTTGAAACGAAATCTAAGCTTTGACCGCCAGTGAAAACTGTTACAGACACTTATGTTCATCCATGGGTAATGGGTCATGTAAGATGGTGCAGCAAAATAACTGCAAGATCAACCCTAGATTTGAACTCTGCCAGCGTGGGAGCACATATGACAGATTCCAGTAGGGCATTCCACGTTCTGCAAACTCGTACGGAAAAGCAATTCCGACGGCATTCTAAACGACTTTGCTACTGTGCCAACTTGATATAGTGGCCTCTCAAATTGCGCTTAGTGAATGAGCGCAAGCAAATGGCGGCACCTGTGGTTTGGATCTCTCAAAATATGGTAAGCCAAAATGAGGTTTCCGCACAATCACCGATATTGTCCGCTGAAGACCCCAAGCACTCGAAGCCTTCGTTCATACGGCAAATTATACAGACCCTTGACGCCTCTGGTTGCTCGGCGTTGGGGTATCTCCAAGACGGTGATATCTCTCCTCATCCATGGCTGTCGAACCTGTACTACGTATTCCACATGTGGGGGTATGTATGAGCCGAGAAGTTGTGGAAAAATCGGAGGGTCGGATCGTCCGAGTGCATGGTTCAGGAGGCCTTCTCAGTCCGATTCGAACATCCAAGGTCAACCTGGACAAAACTCGCACATGCTTCTCGTCAGAAGACGTTTGAAGCTTCTGGTTGCCGATTTTGTGAGAATGAACCAACTTGTGCCTCAGATGCAACACTATACATTTTTTCACATTGAATCGAAGTAGATTCTGGACAACACAGTTTAGCGTTTAAACACTGAAAGCAATACGTATGGTGAAATGCAGTTCCGAAGACAAGAGTGCCGTGTATCCTTGCGAACAACTTCACGACATGCTAATGCAGCGCCCAGATCTACTACGAAAAATACATTCATCTAGCTAGGCAAACAACCGCTTCGTGATGTCAGCTGGTTGGTTCGGGTTTACCCACTTCCAGCAAATAGTTCGGCGGCAGTGTTTCAGGACATGGTGGGTTTTCGCCTGGCAAGGGTTCTTTTTCTATAAACCGCCACAAATATCCATTTAACAACACTGTGACGTGGCGGATGTGACTCGCCGCTCACTAAACTCACTGTTTCTTACATATCTGGATGATCTAACCCAATCCACGGATGTGGGTCATCCAATACGCAGAGTTCATTTCTCTTCTTCCTACACCTGACCGAAAACAATCACAAATACGACGTCATGTTCACAAATTCAAGCAACACAACAACACAACACATTCATGCACACTTAACACATGGATCCATATGTTACTTATAAACTCGTGTCGTTTTTACATTAACCAGTCCTTGTTGTGTCTCCATGATCATGACTAAGCAGGCATGTCTCGCACTGTCGAGAATAAAACATTTCGTTCTTTCTTTATTTAAGTATTGCTCGATAACTATTGTTCCAGATAATATTATGTCAAGAAGTACATCAACTTTTAATCGGAAACGCTTGTACCGACATGTTACTTTGGATCCTGTGCTCATGAAACCATGGATTACAACATGGCGAAATCATGCCGACCGTTGGCTATTGCCACCATAGTAATAACCTTGCATTTTTCGCAAACCAGCGCCATAATGTTCCGGGATCCCACTATTAACCCACGAACTTCTCAAGTGAGTAAAGTACGAAAATTTTGTTTGTACTTTATTTTAACCACACCTTTTACTGTTCCAAAGCAGCTATTTTGTAGGTATATTTAGTCGTGCCTTCACTTGTATGCCTCCTTCTACCGGGAATATACCATTTATTTATTTAGTTAAAATTTAAGTAGCGTAGCCATTGTACTGACTAATAACGCAAGTACTTTTTATTATTGCATTGAAGCAAGAAATGTAGATATTGATCTTTTCAATGTATTGTACGATCAGCATATGCAGAAACAAACGGGGTAGGTTAAGTGTCTCGGTTTGCCGTGCAAGAAATCTGGAAGCGTCTCGGTTTGGCTCATCAATAATCTGGCCACCTTACATGCACCGTACCTAACAGGTGCGTCGTCACTGCTGAATCTCACAGTAGAGCATTATACTTAGACGTCGCCGTGATATGCGCCTCAGGTGTTCCAGCAGCGTTGTGTGCAGTTCGCTCGCGGTATCTCCTATACACACATATTCACAGTTATTATGAATACATTTGTGAACACCGTTATCTTATCTACGAAAAGTGTGTCTTTCAGATACACCATTGTTGAACAGATCTCGAGTTTTATTCCTTGGTTAGTGCCGTCGGAAAGGAAAAGGAAGTTCCATCTACCGATAATATTTTTATCGTCCCAATCCATTCCGCTGTATATTTTCAATGTGGTTCGAGCATATTGTGAAACGTGTCTTTCACTACCGGTTTCGGGTGTCCACTAACCAGGAATTACCTTACTGTCTACTTCCTTATCTGTGCATATGGCCTTATCTGTGAAACACAGAGATCGGAATTGTAGTGCTTTGTCCCATCTGTGTCCCTCGGTTGACGAAATATCGGTTCGGAATCTAATCATTCTTGCAAACAGAGCAGTCAAGAAATGACGATGTGCTACTCTATGGTGGGCGATTTCAGCTTCCTCACAAACTAGCTTTTCTTATCCACTTTTGTGTTCAAAATGTGCCATCCACTTGATACCAACAACTTTTGGCCATTTACTGGCGTTTTCCATCACTAGGTACAACATAGTGGACATTGGCGATCTTATGATAACACCATGCTCTTGAGTGCCTACTTCCGACTGAAACCCGAGCTAGAACAACATACCGCGCAATGTCTTACTCTCGGTTGTTTCAACCAACTTACTTTTCGGTCACTCCTTAGGTTATTCTCTTCAGTCAAACAGCGTTTCACCATACTCAGTGCATCGCATTTCGGCATCTTGGTGCGGAGTGCGCTAACGTTAACATAGATCATCGTTTCATCTTCGTTTCACACGAAGTCATGACGGTTGTTTACAAACGTATTCCCTCACCCTGTCAACGGCTACATTATACTAACGATTGCATATAGACCAGTAAATGCGAACTTTTGCCAGCCCGGTAACCTTATCACAATTAACGCGGTACTCTTCCGCAAAGCTCGGTGCAGTGCATCATGCATTGCTGTGCAGATGCTGATGCTAACCTCATCATTAAGGCCGATCAACTTCAGTTAACAGGTAATTCGGCCACACCCACCGGTAACCAACGCATTGTTCCATGATAGCGCGTAGTGAAGCACCGCACGCATTAATTATTTCACCTGGTCACTATTAACCACACTCGATCACACGTAGACACCGCTAAGTCTAGGTCACACCACGTGAGGTTAACGGACCGGCCTGGTAGCTTGCATGCAGCTAGTTTCAGTGAAGACAATCGATACTGTCTCATTGTAGAGTACATTTCATGTCCGGTCGTCTGCGCGTAACAGTGAGCACTATGAACGCGGATGGCCGCCCACTTCTGTGTTGTGTGTCTTGATGCCGCGTAAGTGAGTGGGTGGAAGTTACAGTACTTCCTCAACCGTCCATAGACGCCGCGTGCTACCCCGCACCTATCCTACAGTGAATGAGCTCACATGTTGTTTTCACGTCCGCGTGTGCATCACGTGGTTTGTTGGCTGAGCGCAGTCTAACCGCTGCACCAACCGATGCAGATGTTCTGAGTATTCTTGTATGATTTGCAATTGGTCAAGACGATGGGCACGCATTTGTGCGTATGCGCCACTGGATTCAACTTGATGTGCTTATGAATTGAGTTGAATATTCTTAAGGAGGAGCATGATTCCGTTATGGATTGGCTTGAGTCGTAAAAGGTGTAGATTGTCCACGTGGCAAACGGATCGACTGAGCTATACGGCACAACGTTGCGATAGCTACTTTGATGTACGGTTCAGAGCTGCAGTTGCTTATTGTTTATGTGAAACGTGTGGTTGGTTTTCGCTTGAGACCACAAATATTTTTTGCATGTTTAATGATTCGGAAATTTTCGCGATTGTGTTTTTGCGGGAATGGCGCAAAAACGGCAATGTGTGGATGAAAGGAAAGCATACAAGTGAGATCCGAATGATTGGGGTGCACTAGATAGCGCAGTTGAAGCTAGGTCGAATGAACGTGAACACACGTTTGTGTGACAAAATGCAACTGAGAACGGTGGCAAAGCAAGGTGTCCGAAGTTGAGCGATTGAAACGCATGTTCGTTCAAGGTCGTCAAAACTCTAACCGGTTATACGCTAAATTCAACCTTTTTCTCAATAATGCTTAAGTGTTCTTGGGACTACACGGTTCCTCAGTGTCTACGAAGGCAGTATTGTTAGCCCCGCGCCTTACCTGTAGCGGCTTTCGGATCATTGCAAACCCCTTTTCGGGAAAGTTTGCATATGGTAAGGTTTCCACGCTCATCATCATTGACACGCTTTTTGTAGTATCGGAAGAAACGGTGAACTCCTCCGGTTTGGTCCGAGGAGCGGAAAACCGACGTAGCCAGGCATCTGCAAAGTAAAATATTCGTTTCAATGTCTTACGGAAAGAGGCGAAAACGAAGAATGTGGAAACGCATTGAAGTGATTTATTCAGGGTAATAAAAGAGCAAACACTCGCCAAATTTCATAGCCTGACAAGAGCGAGCTAAACCAAATGCAAATAGGATACAATACAAGTCAGGGTTTGGAAGTGACTTGGCATACTGCAGTGCTACGAAGAGAGTTGGCGGGCGCACTTTAGCTTGCGTCCTTTCATCTGCAGATTGAAACATACAATTTCTTGTAGTGAGAGTGTGATAGTTTATCGTCAAGCCGCTTTAAAAAAAGATAAATTATGGGGAAGAGTACCATGAAACCGGAAAGCGTTCCGTTTCACGAATATCCTGAAGGCAAAAGCAAATTTGTTGACAGTCTAGCTACCTAAAGTGTATGGTCAATTTGAGCTGGTAGCCGCCCAGATTTGTGTTGTGCCTGAGTTGCAGGAGATCATGGCAATCTTCTTGGGTTTCCACAATATTTGATACTCTACAGTGAGGTTGCCTCGAAGGCATCCATACTCACCCCCTGTGTAATACATAGGCTTTCAGTTTAAGTTACTGAGGAAAGTGGAACGAGTCCTTAACGATTTTGGTCGCCCTACGTTGTGAGGCTTTAAGTTAATCAAAATCTTGCTGTCACCAGACACTAAACTTGGGTGGCGCAGCCCATATGCGGTTAAAAGTATTTGCTTAGCATTTGCAAAAAGACGGAAGGTTCGAAGTTCCCAGACGCTCTAAACAAGACAACAAAATGAATACCGGCTTTTCAAAATGCCCTTCCTGCTTGTTTCTGCATAATCACTCCGTGGGCCAGCCAATTTCAGTGGAGGAAATAGAAGTAATTAAAATTGGTGTGGAAAACCCCAAGTTATTTCGTTTCTTAATCGCGATGACACAGGAGCTTGTAACCTTATCTTCTGATCCTACTTTGATACGTACGTGTACGTAATGGCTGGACACAACCGATTTCCACAGCTGAGTTGCCAGCCGCTGGCTTGGACCAGTGTTCCTGTGTAAGTCAATGTAAGTCACCTGCCCGGGGAGCTTTGGCTTCGAGATCCTAGTCCTAGGTAGACAAATATATGTAGCTCAAAAGTAAACGTACAAAGTTTCCAAGTAAGAAAACATGTTGATCTAGTGAATGATGAAACCAGTATAATTGCTGCACTACGCGCGAGTTCCGTGCATGGTCCAGGAAGAACTGCGGGGTAATTTTGAAACCGCTACTGGTAATGAATTCCGGCCCTAAGTACGTGGTATATATTTCCACACGGATAGTTAACATATTTTGTTAATCGTATAAAAGGATTCGAAATTTATCGCCTTCTTCTTGCACAGCTGAAAACTAGGCAGACTCCCTTCAAGTTAACAGAGGTGAGAATGAGTCGTTTGCAATAGGACATAGAGATAAGTTAAGTATGCAAACAACTTCCGTCACCAAAAATTTCATCTTTCAGCTGAGGCAGTCTGATAAATTCCAACTACTAAGTTCTAACTAAAGGATTATATCCCATAAAACTAGTTAGGTAACAAGAGATGAAATATTATATTGTTAGAAGTGCATGCAATGTCAATAGTTACTAGCGAACAGTACATTTGTGCGGATTTGGACAGTAACAGAGACCCAAAAGCAAGAACCGTCTTTCATTGCATAAAGTCACAACGGCAATGTGATTACTAGTTTGATCTTTGGGCATGCATTAGATAGTTCTCTACTTGAACGAAGTCTACCCGGGTGATATTCCCCATCTGCTCAAACAGCATTTTGAATAGTTCGAAATCCGTTTATCCATAAACTGAGCAAGTTTTCATTCGGTTTCTGTATAGAAAACTTAAGGTAGCTGCATTTGAAACGAAGTACATCACTAAGAGTCAAAGGTAAAACGCATAATTTTCGATTTTTAAGACGAAATAGCCGTTGTGTGGTTTGGGTAGACTACATTTGAAAACCGAAACAAATCCATCTCCCGGTGGAACTGAGCCTGTATGCAATTTCGTCAGCTAGGGCTTCCACTGAGCAGTAGGACAACAGTGGTTTGTTTAACTGCTACTAAATCTTGAGCAACCGGACTGTTGTCAATTGGTGGAAATTTTCCGGGCAATAGCTGAACGTGAGAACCTTTCGAGGATATTTCTACTCACAGCTAGTTGGCTCCGTGCTATTGAGTTACCAACGTAGGTAAAGTGCGAACCAGACAGGGTTTCATTTACAGTCGACGGGTTAGAAACAAGTAAAATATATATCTTAGCAACTCCGGTTGGCTTCTTATTTGTTGATGCATTAAAGTGTCCCATCAGGGCCTCCACAATTAACACATTCAGAGGTCGTAAGCTGTTCTCGTGCTCGTGCATCAGGAGCACAGCTCAGTGGAAAACACTAAGCGAGTCCACTTTGGAAAGTGTCTAAACGGAAGGGCACATATCAATTCAACTTCTGAAACTACTATTTGCTTGATCATGTTTCAAGCCACATAGACCATCATTTCAGAAAGCTTGGTGGACAACCGGCTACTGTATACGTTAACCGATGGTCCACCGAACCTTCTACATTGATGACTTCCCGATCAGTTCCCTACATAATCCAATATATCACATGCCACACAGACCACTTTTCTGGACTGTTGCATTTGGAGCTGAGACGATTTGAAACGCGGTGCTCGATTTTCTGATGTAGTACACAGTTTCCGGACCGCAGGGGAATAGATAAGTGCTACTGACTCACAGAATATTCATTACGGCACTCTTACTTTTTACACGTGCGCAACACTAAAATTGAGCAGCACAAGCAGCTGCAGTTCTCGACATGAGAACAACTAATTTGTATTTTCCATATTAACTTTATCCGCTAACAATGTGTAGTTCCTAAAAACGATAATCGGCCGAGCATGCTGGCAGTGTCCACTGTCAACCCATCGCAACCTCTTGGGGATCACGTTATTCTCGACTTACCTTTAAAGGTGAACAAGTTCAACATTACCACCCGAGTATCTCGCGGAAGCTCACTGGGACTTTGAAAGATACGAGGTATGAGACCTCTTGACTCCGAATTGGCCCAGCTATTGATCTGCCTTGCTGACTCCGATTGATTTTGGAAATGCAACTAAAAAAGATTGGACGCAAGTTTGCACCTGTTGAACCCATGTGAACGTGAATTTTGTTCACAGGCAACTAAGAACTTCAGAAGTAGAAAGAAGGTTTATCCAGGGGTTACCTAAGAAGAATTCGCGGAGATTGTGGAAGCGTCAAATAACTGGAAGCATAAACATCCACCTTTACATACACAGTATATGAAGGATAGTTTGTTCTGTTGGAAATTTATGATCCAGGCTAAATGTTCCACCTGTCCTGTCCGAAACTTCCAGGCTCATTCGGTATGAAAATACAAACAAGTGAAACGAACGAAGTCATGTTTGTAAGACTCTCCTAGTTCACAATAATCTATGCAAATATATTGGTGGAGCTGCGACAAACAGTGGATACGGAGTGTATTAGAGGCAAAAGATGCAGTACTTAGCCACTAGCTCTAGAACATTGGCAGGGAGTAGACGTTTGGCAGGTTCCTGGAGTAGGAGAAGACATACTCTTGTTCAAAAAATTTCGTCCTCCCCGGTCACCGCTGGGCCTATGAACTGGAAACAGACATGGCCCAGCGTGAACCTCCGAGTGTTTTCGTAGACCATTTCAAGCAAGTAAACACAGCCGACTAGGTTGATGGGTTTGTCAAATGTAGAAATTAAAGCAGTTAGTCACCTACAATAATTTGAAGAACTCGATGAGAAGACAAGCACTGGTAGATGCCCCATTCGTTTGTCTTATTAACAAAAATACAAAAACAAGATATTATCTTCTACCGTTCAAAGGTGATTCCAACCAATAACATACGGTGAGGTAAACGGCGGCGATGGTCCGGGGCAAACGAAGGGCAATAACTGATTGTTACTGCACACAAACGGCGTGTGTTAGTTGGATTATCACCACGGTCACGATAAACCGCAAGAAGCGTAGATTAGGATGACGGAGTAATCTCCGAAAAGCGGAGCCGCGGTCAATCTGATGGCGGGTCAACAAGACATGTCTGCCTTTTGATGATGCTGGCGGCTTACCTACAAACGGAATATTTGGCGAGAGATGGCTGACCTCCCACTGATTGACCTCAAGCTGAACCCAGTTGGGCAGGTGCTCCTTCAATCTGGAGTTCAGCACCCTCGCAGTCCTGCCTATGTAACTGACGTCGCAGCTACACTCAAACTGGTAAACACGGCGAGATTTGGCACCTCCGGGTTCCTCTTCCTCTACTGAAGGTAGCGGCAGTTTCCGGGTTCTGTTGATCAATACAGCAACTGCAGCGTAGTAGGTTTTCTGAATGGCTGAGATTAAGCACTTGGTTGTCCTCATTGTGGCGGTGTTACCCTTAAATGAGAGAGCGAAATATGCCTTTTTCTTATGTGCTGTCACAACCGTTTCTTTCGACGGTCTGACTTGACTATGCTTCCTGATGAAGAGTTTAGGGTAGTAGTAATATTTAGGGATGTGGGCATTGTTCAGGTAGCCCATGGTTTCGCACGTGCTGAAAAATTCCAAGCAAATGAGTCAGGACTGGAGTTATAAAGATGTAAGGAGCAGTGAACCTGGAAACTAAACCAGATACCAAACATTCAGTAACATATTCTGCTCTTGAGAAATTAGTGGCAAACTCCCAAAATGGTTCGGTGGTGTGATTTCGGGACCGCATGGTTGGAGCAATTCCTAATGTCCGCCGACAGGTTTGTTTAACAGGATCTGATGCTTTTTGGACACATTGGAATACTGAACTAGTCCAAACATTCTCGTAGGGTCATAAAGGACCCGGAACGGCTTTCATTCAGTAGAATTGGGTTATGTTGGATAGGCACCACCGAGGTGTTCCTATGGTTTGAGTTGGTTAATCTTAGAAGGTTGGTTATCACTATAGACAGTTTGCTTCCCAAGTTAGCGGAAGTGCGTTGGAAGCGTTTACCATCAGGATTGCGAAATAGTAACAAGGTGCAAATTTAACTTTAGTCGGTAGCACGAAACTCTGGAGAAGGACAACATAGTTAAAACGTTTCGCTTTGTTATTGCCTTCAAAATAAAAGCGCGGAAGAAAGCAAACGTCGAACATTTTAATGAAATATGTCTGCTTGACGCGTTAGTTATAAAGTTCAACAAAACTGCCAAATGCTTTCCACTTACAGATATTTCAAATATAATGGGTTAATGGTTATGCTTATGCCTAAAGCTTGGAGTGAATAGCAAACCTGCTTCATATGCGCCCGAAACTCGTTCTGTATGCTCCATACAAAATTTGGTTCCAGACCGAAACCTTCTTGTAGGAAGGCGGCAGTTGATGTACTGATGACACTGACTCGGCGCTGGCCAATAAATGTCTCCTGAGAAGTGAGTTCGTCCACCAACTCCCGATACAGGCTTTTCGACTCTCCAATCACCAAACTCAACCCGCTTTCAGTTCGAGGTGATTTTAACTGCAGTGATTGAGCTATTTGGAATCCCGTCTTGCCTCTTGTGGCTCCGGAGCCGAGTAGTGTAGTAAGAAGAAGCAGAACACCGATGGGACAGGTAGCAAATTCGTTGGGAGCGGCTGCATGAGGATAAGTTGGATAAGATGTATATATCCACATTAAAGGACAGGGATTTTTAAGCGGTATCTAGGTGCATGGTGCGTACGCTTGAAAGTCATAAAAATCGCGGTTATTATATTGGACGAACACTTTTTTCTTGTTCAAATTTAGCTTCGTGACTTGTGTACTGTGTAGATATAGCTCTAATCGCTGGTCATTAGGGGCGCAATGAAGACACCGCACAGTAACGGAATTCAAGGAAGCGTAACGACTCACGAACGCGCGGCTTATTTTAAGGGATTTACTACAACCATCTTAGCTTGTCCTTTCTCTGGCTATTGAAGTAAGTCGACGGTTAGCTTAAGAATTTCTAACGCTTTCTAAACGTGTATGGTAGGTTGAGATCAGTTTTACCAACGCACATCATACTTTTATTGGTCACATGATGTGAACAAAGGATTCCAAAGTTAGGAAACCTTGTTTTTACATTTCTCATCTGCCATCTTCCTCTGTTCCTCTTTATTTACTGCCTCGATGTATCACTGGCATACTGATTCTCTATAACATTTTCCGGACGGATAGGCAGGAAGTTTGGGTTACTGGACGGGCCACTAAGCAAATTAACAATGAACAATGATTTATGCCAGATAAAAAAGCAGTTGCTTGACAAGTCCCACAGGATGGTGGGCGTTAAATTGCAATAGCAAAAGATATGTGAGTTGTCTGTTTGAGTGTTTATCTAGCAGATACACTGCTGAATAGTAGTAGTGTAAGTGGGAATTGCATGGGAACGACAAGGCAACATGAGGACAGTTATAGTTGATGTACTCTGTGAGAAAAGTAAAAACGAGAACACTCAACTCCGTACCACCTCTTCAGGTTTATGTAACAGGTTAATCCAGTTTGAAGGAATAATTAATATATTCTAAAGTAATACAGTTTAGGCAAAAAGGTGATGGAAGCGAAGGGCAAGAGCCAATAGTATTTTTTGTAAGTTTCCAATGTGGAGGAGGAAACAAAGAAGTTTGGGAGAGAATTCCAGGGTTGTTAAACCCGAAGAGAAAGATAATTCCGCTGACATTCCAAGCGGCTATACTGTTCACACAATTTCAGAGGGTTACCTCTGAGATTGGTGTTATGGCTGAGTCTTAGTAAGTGACGGCATACGTGATTAGGATCACACAATATTTGGTAGACTAATATGAGATTGCCGCGCAGACTTCGGTAGTGGCCACTGAAAACACCCAGTGACTTCAGCCTTTGATGGCAGGACAGATGTCGTAGGCCCTGCGTTATGGTTTCTCTAGCAGTTCTAAGTCGCGCTTTAACCAAGGTTACCAAGATTGGATGATGTGTTCAAAGTGAGGGCGCACGTTAGAACTGTGCATCATGAGGAAGATCGATGGGATGATTCTTCCAAATGCTCTCCGCAGCAAGCCGACCTCCTGGTTGGTTCTCTTCGCAGCTGCCTCTGACTGCTTTGAACACTTAAGATCCCTATGAGCGAGCACACCAAGGAAGCTGTTTGCAATGCATGTGATCCAAGACTATATACGTAGTTATGACTATAGCGCAATTGAACAGGGTGATATTTTTCCACCTTGAACGGTAGGATGTTCAGAACTTACCAGTTTGAAACCATGTTGAGGTCACTCTGGAGCTTTTCGTGGTCGTTCAGTTCTTTGATCGCACGCCGTAACTTTGATATCATTCGTGAAGAATAGGATATCGGAAGTAATTTCCATCGCCATATCGTTTACGAAAATCAAGAGTAGACAGGGCCCGAGTACCGGGCCTTGCCGTACACAGCACTGCATCTCAATTGCCTCAGACAGGGATTATCGTAATCTCACCTCCAACCGACTTTCCTACAGGAAATTGCCTATCCAACGCAGCATTGGGTCAACAACGCCATAGAACTGAAGTTTATGGAAGAGAACGTGGTGGCCTAAATGATCAAACGCTTTTGAGAAGTCTAGGTAAATGACATTAACTCCTGCTCCACCATCAATTGCTTCAGTTCAGCTATTACGTACAATTAGCAAGTTCGTAGGGCATGAGCGCTTTTGTCGGAAGGCACGTTATGATGGTGCTATTATCTTGTGATTTTCCAGGTACTGCATGAGTGCCTCAGCGATGATAGACTCCATAACCTTGGAAAACACAGGGGAAAGTGTTATCGACCAGTAATTAGTTGGATCAGTGTGACTACGTCCAAGTTGCAACCTTCCGAAGTCAACCTTTGTTGTTGCCATTGTGTCTACTCATATCAGTTTTCACGGAAAATTTGGCTTAAGAATGTGCACTGAAATCAGTCACTGCGACGCATTATCTGGCTGTGCATCAACTTCATCGTCTGGACAGAAGTGCAAGTCTATTTATGTCGGCACCCGTGCTGGTACTGTGTGCTTGTCTTCCCACATCTAGCGCATTCGCTGCGCGAACAGAAGTCACTCGCGGTTACATTGTGCTTCTATTCCAGTCTATGCCATTTATGAATAACCTTTGCCATCGCAAGTAGTAAGTTATCACGTATTACTGAAGGTGTGGGTGTGTGTGTTGCGACTGGATATGCGTCAGCCGTTGGGACGTAAAGCCAAGTGTTGACTTGTCTTAACTCCATGAGTTCGCTTAAGTGTTATTTTACTTCAGGTGCAAGTTAAGTGCTTCGTGTCACTTAATACTGCAAACATTTCTGCCGTTAACATGTGTTACTTTATTGTCAGAATTTAAGCTAGTTCGGTTGTCGAGTTTCAATGACCATTTTTCACTGCAGTCTGGTCTATTCACAATGTTCGGTGGCTCACCGAACATGATCACTGCAGCCACCGAATTCATGTAATCCCATGGACATATCATCTAAAACATTCGGCATGTGAAACAAACACCGAATTGTCACTTGGTACGCAACCCGTCTTTCATGGTGTACCTTCACTCTACAGATTGCCGACCGTCGTGAGGACAACAGGCGTAAGTTCGTACTACTCCCTGGTTGCTTTTAGGTAAAAGTCGCAGTTGGGATTATCTCAAAGATGAGACAAAACTGATTAGAAGTGGTGCTACACATAACACTTGGAATCCGTAAACGAGCGGTTAGGATAAAGAGAACAACCCATAGACCTTTTCAAATTCGTAATTACCGCCCTTTTATCCATCTGTTTTACCATACGACTTCAGTTCCAGTTTCATAGAGTTGGAGTACCTGACATATGGTTGTTTTGCAACACGCAAACTCTATTGAGATTTGCACTCATTTTACAGTATCCTTCGGGCATTCCGATCACAAGGACCGTATCCTAAATGGAGGTCTTTCGGTGTTGTTCCTTACAGCCCCTTCAGCTTTGTTGACGATGGTATTATCCTCCGTCAGTTGTTGCCCTACGCAGGCCAAAAAATTCCTCTGGATAAAGCCTACACGTAGTTCTCCAAGAATATGCTCCAGCTCAACGCTGTCAAGTGCGACGTTCTGAGCATACGACCTCGCAGCACTCACAACTACCGGATAGGGCCACACATTCTAGAGCGCACTTCCCACTAGTGCGATGTCGACGCGTTCGTTCAAGATGAACACTGTAGGTTGAAGCAGAGTGAATAGACAGCAAAGAAAGCAACTAAGCACTTCAGCCTTCTTCATAGGGTGTTCGGTAAGTTCGGTGCCTCAATCTTTCTGCAAATATTTAGCGCGTACGTTAGACCGCACGTGGAATAATCCACCCAAAGTTGGCAGCCCTGGCAGAAACACTTCCACACTGAGTTTGCGACTGCAAAAAGAAGGGCGACGTGGAACGGCAAAGCTTTTTTCTACGTTCCCTATCCAATCAGGCTGAAAGTTCTGAGTGCAGAGCGGACGTTATTAGCGTCTACCAGGAGATACCATAATGGTGGATCAGATCCTATATAACCCTAACCGCACTTATCACCATCTTTGGAAACTCAGCCAGAACACATTTATAAGGGCCATCAGTTTCAGCTGGCCTCGTAGCAAAGCTGACTAGAATGTCGACGAAGAATTTGCTCTCTCCGAGTGTCGCATACCTAGAACTCCCTCCCATTCAGGTAATTAATACCCCAACTTATCCCTACTCAAAAACGGCTAGACTGTACACCGGCGTATTTACACTATGCGATACAGTCTGTGATCATCAGCTAACGAGGTTATTGCAGAAGAAACAGGGAAATATATCAGACTGCCCTAAAAAATCTCGAAAAGAATGCTCACATCTGCACCTCTAAAAACCCTTGTCAAGTAAGTTGCGTCGTCTTTTATCAAGACTGCGTTCTCCTTTTATACTTTGCCCCCTACTAGATTTGTCAAATATTTGTATTTTGTCCGTTATGGACCATTTCATCGTTGCTGCATAACCTTCACGGCTGTCTTCACCTCTGTAAAGAAAATCATTTAGCGGGGGACACGAAGTTTTCAATGGTTATGGGATAGATGTGTGTAATACCTTAGCATTGCATCTTGTTAACCGCAACAAAGTGGAGGAAGATTATTCGACCAGCTAGCCAGACTAATTGCGCCTACTTCGCGAGGGTCGCACCAACAACTGTTAGTGTGAACAGAATGCCGGTTGCTATTCGACAACAATACATAAGCAATGCACATCTAATTATTAGCGTTCATCTGACAAGCAAGAAACTGGCCATAAAATCTTAGCCATTAATTTGGTTCATGTTTTGCGTGCTTCCCAAGTACAAATGCAACAGTTGCGATTATCAAAGTAGCGTCTTGCTCTGAGACCCGGAAAACCCTTCTTCAGGTCACATACGATGACCTTATTGACTGCCAAATCGGCGCCTCATTCGCGAGTGACTTGAATCGGGCACGAGGTCATGCGAAGCGTGTTCACCGTCCGGGACACAGTCAGGATCAGATAATGCGAATCATAAACGAAATCGTGATGCGAACTTCCGGCCATTCTGTAAGCGGGTCACTTAAGTGTCCACTATCAACACAGTGGTACGTTGACCCAAGTGGGTGTTTTGGTGGGTCTACATACCGGGTAACTTTCCGGCGGTGGCTTCGAATGCGCTGTACTCCGTGATTGAATAGTTTCTAGTGCCCTGTAACCGGCACAGCATAAGATACTATCACACTAACCTTTGAGAAGTCCTGCACTATATGACGCCAGTGCAAATGCAAAACACGCAATACTTTTATCACTGTCTGCTAAGAGTGGGGTTTGATGTACAATGTATTCGAATGTGTTCGTGGGGAAGAATTTCAACCGAATTGGCGCGGAATAGTGACTGGTTTCATTTCTGCAACTTGATTACTCTTCTGTTTGTTGTGCAGCTGCTTTACTTCTACGGGTTCTTTTACACCGCCCGATGCGAAAGTCAGTGAGAATACTGACCTCTCCCTATCTGATTCCAAGCAAAGTCTGATCAGTGGGATAGTTATCCATGTGCACAGAGTAGATTTGGGACGGAAAAAGGCCTTGTTCTATTTGACTCCGTCTTCTTCGGTCGGTGGAAGACATGATATTTCTTATACCATTGCAGTATCCTAAGACAAATGAACGACACGTTTAACCACATAACATTGCGCGATGATACAGAAGTCTCGGCATGCATGGTTCATTGAACCAGTGCGTGTTTGTCCGGCAGTGATGCAAAATGCCCCCTAAACCTTGACGAACAATATTTACTTGATCCCTTATATCGTATCACTTTACCCAAGGTTACCTTTCTTCGCTTGGAAGTAAACAACTAGTCCTTAGCCTCACATACGCTGGATGAAGTTGCGCTTCGCCCTGGCTTTCTGTTCAGCGCTCACCACTTATCAGTGGCTAATGACTTGGTGGTCCACAATTTGACCCACGTGATCAAAGACACTCTGCCTCACTGATCGCGTTGCTGGCAATGTCGACCTGTTCGAACTCATCCTCGTGTGGCCCTTCGATATTTGTGCGGTGTTTATCAACACTTCTACTAACGGCGGCGGAACTTGCACAGCATGTCCTTGTCTCGTCTTGTCGGAGGAAAACACTGTAGATCATCACTTGGATCGCAAATTCATAGCGCAAGTTCGTACACCTGTCAGAGGACCAAGTGCTACAGAGCATGAAACTATTTGTACCGATGGAGTAGGTTTGGACAATGGTCAACCAACCGGCAAGCAATCGCTGTAGAAATAATGTAGTAAGCAAACTCAGTTATCCTAATTGTCTGGTTTGACAATCGTAGAATTTTGAGCTCGCCAATTCCAAGTTGATCAGAACCAGAGCAGTGGACAAAAGATATAGTTAATGACCTATGGTCGGTCACCATTAAGGACATATGGAAGTATATGCCTACTACTGAAATAACAACTTGAGACGCCCTATTCAGAGCGTCAATACCATAATTACCACTTGCCCCTCCGTGTTGTGAACTTGCAAGGTAATGAACATCTGGTGTGACATTATTTCGTACTCAGTGAATTAAATAAAAGGCAATATGCGCCCTAGTAAACTTACGGAATTCATGGACTGTCTTCATCAGATAGTTCCGCATAAATGCAACTTGACTCGTTTCCGGTGCTTCTGGTTTGCTTTTGATACACATCGTTAGAACAGCTAGTGGACTTGGCAAGTCACTTCGAACCAAATGTGTATGTTATCAATTCCGCGAGAAATACACAACCCCAGTGCCATGACAGTGGTCGGCCAACGGTGTTGGACATGAGAGTCACCTCTGATTGGTCAATTTGCGTGTCGGCTGGTGTAGATCATCGATGGGTCAGGCAACCGTTGTACGTAAATCTCAGCGTTGCAAGCGCCGTACTAAGCAGCTTGCGTCTAACGTTGTCTCTGTCAACGAATAAAACAGCAGACAGTCATGTGATTCGATCATTCCGTGCATTCGCGATTATCCTGTAGGAACTATTAATATTTCCGACGAACAGTCACACGGTGCGGCAGATCGATTAATGCCAACTGCACCGCGTTAAAAGCTGATTTTATCAATATTTCATCCATTACGCTGTTGAATTTGGTGACCGAAGTTAGCGAGAAAGTGCATTGCGACTGCAGTCAACAAAATCTAAAGACACCGGCCATTTTGCCTCACGCAGTAGGCCAGCATTCAGGGGTCACCATCACGTGACAATTCTGTAGATCCGTACAACGGCAACACAACAGTTTTAGAAATCACTTCAGGGTAAAGAGTTCTTTTCTGTAAACTCTCATCAGACCCAAACGTTTACATAGCACTGCTTGTGGGGAAAGCGACAACTCGGGCTGGGATTGATTTCTGGGCTGTCTGAACGATCAAAATCCATAACCTGAAACAGGGATATAATTGGACAAACCAAGTGAACTAAATAAACATACATACGCACAACTCAGTAGTCCGAAGTAATTAATTAGGTAAGATAACAACCAAATAACTAAGTAGGAGTGTTAGTTGGTCAAGGTAGTAGTATGGGCTGTGTGAATCGTTTTTGTACACATAGTTCAGGCTTCAGATGGTGAATGTAGATAGTCTCGGCGATGGATATGTGCTGTTCGCGGAAGTCTAAGTGGGACTGGAATAGTAGGATAAATCCCCGTGAATGTTCCTTCCGTGGCGCGTCGTCGATCCAGGGCATTATTCGTCCGCGATAACTGGAATCCAGAAGAGTCAGATCAGCGCGCGCGAATCACACCACGGTCAACCAATTGATACCCACGCGACCTGCATTGGCAGTCCCAGCCGCACCCGTCGCGGGAAATACGAAACAGAAGTACGAAAGTAATAAGAGCTCCAAAAGCAAAACGTAATAGAGCTAATAATTCAATAAGGCGAATAAGCTAAGATGTGAAGAGACATGTTAAGAATTGAAGGCCAAGAGCGTCGTCGGTGTTCGAACTCTTTCACCTTTGGTGCCAATACAACGTTCTCGGGCAGTGCATTCCAGCAACCCACCACTGTGCGTGATAAACGAAAGTGCGCCTGGACTCCATCCGATCGACATTTGTGTAGCTTCATCGAGTGACCTCGGAGAGATGGAAGCCCAGCCGGTTTGAAAAGCCCAGGTAAATCAGGTCCGATGTTACTGGTAAGTACGCGGGAGGTCAAGATCGTCTCGATGGCGACCATAATGCATTGAGAACATTCCCAGCTCAACTCGCCTTTCTGGGTAAGAAAGGGATCCGTAGTCCATCAATCATTTTGGTTCAAACTCTAAATACTTCTGTTCCTGATTAAACAAGGTGGACAAGCCTGAATGCAGTATTCCAGGTGTGGCCTGACAAAGGCTGAGAATAGCCTAACAAACATACCGCCCGTGTTGTTCCCGAATTCTCCTGCGGATCATCCACAACATTCTGAAACCCTTGCATGTAGCTTTCCTCAAGTTCTCACTAGATTTAATCTCTGAAGACGACGTGACCCCTAGGTCTTCCAGCTTGGAAACACGGTGAAGTTCATTACCCCCAAGCAGATAACGCGTTTGGGGGCCATTTGACCCTAATCATAAGATGGAACATTTTTCATACTTTATGGGCAACTGCCACAGAGCAGCCCAGGCCCAAAGTTTATCGAGGTCCCGTTGCAGAGTGTGGGGTCCATCGAGGTCGGACACAGTGTACCAAAACTTTAGGTCATCTGAAAACATGAGAAATGGTAACCCCAGCAGTTCGGGCAGCTCATTGACATACCAAGAAAATAACTACGGGCAAGCACCTGAGGGACTTCACTGAGAACTGACTGATGGAAAAACAGACTAGACCGCACACGAACACACATCTCTCTCCCTTCGAGATACGTGGTGATCCATTGTAGTGCACGCCCTGATCTTCCATAGGACCGAAACTTCAAGGAGAGGAGAGAATATGACACAGTGTCGAACGCCTTGGATAAGTCAATAAATAGTACATCTACTGCATGACCCAGATCCAAAGTCTCCGCCCAACGTTCGCACGCAACTAGCAAATTAGTCATGCAGGAGTGACCCTTTCAAAAGCCCTGTTGAAGTGGACTGAGCAGACCAAACTCCCCCAGGTGGTTTTCAAGCATATCCTTGACCTACTTCTCCAATACCTTGACCAGCGCTTATCAAACTCATCGGTCTATAATTGGCAGACACATGTCCATCGCCCTTTTTACAAATTGGACAGACAATGGCATTCTTCCAGTCCTTAGGAAAGGAGCAGCTGCGAAGCGACAACTGAACAGTACGCGTCGCTGGGCCACATAGCTGGCTTGCAAGTTTGTACAAAACCTTTGGGTGAATATCATCCATCCCAGCGGATTTAGCAGGATTTAGCCCCTGAAGAAGATGGAGAACTTGTGCCTCCGAAATTGAGACGAGCGCAAACAACAGTCCTGTGAGACTCTCATCCTTAAGTCAACATGCGGCAACTGCTTATCCCGAACAAAAGTCCCGGCATACTGCGCACTGCGTAGACATGCTTCTTCGTGATTAATGTTGGCCGTAGCGCCATCGCTGCCTAATAACTGGGATAGAAGAGCCAACATTACCACGCCTTTTGACGTAGGCGAATTCTTGAGAGAAGTGTTCAGGTAGTGAGTAGATGACTCTGAAGTCATTCTTGGAAGCTCTATGACTACATTCAAGGAGGTGCGGCATGATCGAGCTGTCTGAGGACCTCATTTCGCCTGTGTAAAACCATGCCGGGATGTGCTCACGGATCCTCGGAGATAGGCGCCTCGTAGTGCGACCCAAGTATCGTGCACACAGGCGCCTGCGTACTGATAAACGATCTTTGGAGTAGTCAACGACGGCGGTCTATCTTTCAACGGTGTTGTAAACAACGTTTTGTCGTGATAACCAATTCACAGGCGAGCCGGGAAATAAGTTTATCCAACAGCATTTTTAGGCGTCGGGATAACATCATCTGCAGAATCGCCCTTATATGGTATACGTATAAAAAGCTCTTCCTTAGGAACAATGCTCCTAGGGGGTTTCCGACTGAGTTCCTTCAAATGATTCATGATAAATTTAGCAGGATAACCATTTTCCCTGAGGGCGTCGATGATTCTGTGTAGTTTTTGTTGACGAAATCCGGTGTACAAATACTGCGCGCTATGGAGGCCAGAGATTTGATTAAACTCCTCTTATGCTGTAGCGAACCTGCGCTGTGGAAGTTAATGTACTGCCCAGCCCATGTTTGCTTTCTGTGTACCTTTTTGCTTCCTGATCCGTCCGAGTTACGGATAACTTCTACATCCAGGAAAGGCAACCGGTTTCCGAATTCGTGTTCACAGGTGAAGTGGAGATTCTTGTTTGCGTCATTGAAACCTTTCAGCAACTGTTCCGCATGCTTTCCGGATTTGCAAAGTACGAAGGTGTCGTCAGCGTACCGCACGTACATTACGGTTCCACCGATGAGCTTTGTAATGGGCCATGTTCCAATTTCGCCATGAAAATATCAGTCAGCAGCAGTCCCAAAAGAGATCCCATGGCCTCTCCGTCAGTCTGACGGTACATTTCACCATTGAAGCTGAACTGAACATTCAAACAGCAACGAACTAGTACCTCCTTTATCAAAGTATCCCGGAAAGTTGCGTATATGGGCAATTGCCGAGAGAGTTCGCATATGTAATCCACGGTTTCGAGCAATGGTATGTTTGGGAACAGTGACTGGGCATGGAAAGACATCATTCTTTTGTTATCAAGGTCGATTTCGGATATCCTCCCAATTAATTCGTACGAGTCTCTCACGCAGCTTCGTCACCATCCATTGGGACAACAAATGTTGGGCAGAACCCACCATGTCCAATATTGGGCACATTGAGGCTCCTTCCTTGGGAACCTTAGGGAGGCCATATAATCTTGGTAGGTGTCCACCTGAAGGCTTCAGATTTCTGAATTCCGTCTTCGTGATGAGTTTGGCTTGCACCATTCTCCAGAGGCAGCCGGGCAGCTGTTTCTCTCATTTCCCTGTGTTGTCTCTTCCTGACATGTGCCTCTGGAATTTACGCTTGTCACTGAGGATGTGCTACATTTTACGGATATAATCCACCTTATGAATTAGCACTATGCCGGAACCCTTGTTTCGCTTAGAGATTATCAATTCATTGTTTAACCGTAGCTTTTAAGTGACGGAATTTGTTCTCTAAGGATACTACTATTACTAGCTGGTTTCGTTTTAACGTATTCGTGACAACTATGAACTAGACGGGATTTTTAATTCTCAACATCACTTGATGAGGTTGGAAACAGGTCTTTAATCTGAGCAATTAGGCTTTCAAACTGCATGTCTAAATCCGCCTGATCTATTTTCTTACATGGAAGGCAAAACTTTGGACCCAGTGATAACACGTTCAGTTGCGTCTGGGTTAGTATGACACTGGAAAGGTTAAATATATATCGCTGCCATAAAGGTTCCGAGAATGACTTAAAGTCATCTACTCACTATCTGAACCCTTCTCTCAAGGATTCCGCAACACAGCTCTTATCCATCACCCAGTCTATCTACATTCACCATCTGAAGCCTGAACTATGTGTACAAAAACGATTCACACGGCCCATCCTACTACCTTGACCAACTAACACTCCTACTTAGTTATTTGGTTGTTATCTTACCTAATTAATTACTTCGGACTACTGAGTTGTGCGTATGCATGTTTATTTAGTTCACTTGGTTTGTCCATTTATATCCCTGTTTCAGGTTATGGATTTTGATCGTTCAGACAGCCCAGAAATCAATCCCAGCCCGAGCTGTCGCTTTCCTCACAAGCAGTGCTATGTAAACGTTTGGGTTCTATGAGATTTGGCCGAAAAGAATTCTTTACCCTGGAGTTATTGCTGATATTGATTCATATTCCTGAAGTGTAAATATTTACTTAGCTGAAGACCAGCATTGCCCTTGATTCATTGAAGCTCTTGAATGAGTATCTGAATTTCAACACAACAATTACCAGAACAAATTAAATAAGATGGTTCCCCCACGCTGCCGAATTTCATGATCAGAGACCAATTCCCACCGTATCCTGGCTACGTTTCTTTTCTTATTCGTCACATCACTATTGGGATTACAAGGATCATTTACTCACAACTACGGTTTTGTTGCTGTCGTCAGTGATATGTAATACTTCTGATCTTTTCGGTTGTTACTTCACTTGTGCTGCTAGCAGATGTCCACGTTTTTACTAGTCATTAGCCGGTGACCCAGTACTTGACCCTGACATCATTTTACTACCCATTACCGTGTTGTTTAGATGTCATCATAGTGGTCACCACTAAGAAGGAATTGACCCATAATAGATAGTTCAAATCTGTCTATTCATC